AAAAATTCCATGGCTATTCATTAAAACTTTTGAAACAATAGTCTTAAGTGGGAAGTTCTTGGGGGAATCAAATCTTTGTAAGTGTACCTAGAATGGCATTCTATACAGTTATGCACTTCATAAATGATTTGATGGGGTAAGAATGATGATAGAAAGACAAAAACAATTACATAAGATCCATGTAGTATTATAATGTTAAAATGTAGTTACAGTAAAACATTTATCTTTTGATGAAAGATTCAAATTTATGAGAAGATAGTGTTGTTGCTTGATGATATAATGTTTCACATTTTAAAATAAAATCTAGAAATTGTAATATATTTTGTCATAACTTTAGGTAATAAAAATAAAGTGTAGCAAAATAAATATTGCCCAGGTTATCTTAAGACTTAATTTAACACTTTCTCAAGTATGTCAATTATTATTAGTAGATTAGGACAAACTACGAAGGTGTGAGAAGTCTCGTTTCTCACAGTGTTTTGACAGTGTGCACATCAGTGAATGAGGGGGGTGTGGGATGGGGAAAGAAATTTCATAGCCAAAAACTAACTTTCCCATTGCCTATTCTCTGTTGCTTTGAAGGAGTACAGATGAAAAACGGAAGATGGAGACAGATGGTTGGAGAAAGGGAAGAAATGTAAATATGAATAAAGAGGACAAAATAAACTGGAAGAGAAACAAGCGTGAGATGGGGGACAGGAAAGATGGACCGGAGTGTCACTCAATTCAGAGATGGAGATGGGCAAGTTGAACCTCAGTGGTTCTCTCTTCCACACCTTGCTTTCCCCGTCTCAAGAATTATTTTATTGCTTGGGGAAAATACACCACTTCAGTATTCTGAGTACTTAGGTTTACTTCAATTATTTTAGTATTTAGTATTTTGTGTCTGAAACATGTTCAGTCAGCATTTTAGGGATTGTGGGTAACCCATAAGTTTTTTTTAATGTTCATTCTTTAACCTCATTGTGATTAAAATTATATATATGTATGTAATATGTATGTGTGCTTTATATATATCTATATCTATAAAACTTTAAACAGTTTTTGTCCCCTTGAAATCTGAATTCAATAACTATAATATGTCTAGTGAAAAGATTGGAGGAAGAGGTTAACATTCAACTTGAGAAATCCTGGCTAAGTCCTGCCTTGGGAGGGGGCAAAAGCCTGGCCAAGGGCACTAGCAAAGAAATCCATGTCTTCCACAAAGAAGGATAGCTTGAGCTCAGCAGGATTTTCCTTAAGAGGAGGGAGGTTAGCTTTAGTGTACAAGAAGAACTTGTGCTCTCTCTGGTGGGTAAAGAATGCAATGAAGCAATAGAGGTCTCTGCATCCACCTTGGTGGTAGTAGGGTGGGGTAAGGTGGGGTAGTTTGTGGCAGGGTAGGGTGGGGCAGAGGTGCCTCAAAAGAAAGTCCTAGTGATCTGCTTCTGAAAGGTCACAGCTTTGAATACCCTATGGTGTACAGCTCTACTCTGCAACTTAAGGGGTGGTTATGAGTCAGAATCAACCCCAAGACAACTGGTTTGGGTTATTTTTTCTTTTTTGTTTACTATATGATGAGGACTGTGTTTATTAAAGAGCCATGTACCACATTTGCTTTGCAGTGCTAGCCTTCTAAAACTGCAAAGACCGAAACGTTGTTGTGTGCCGTCGAGTCGATTCCAACTCACAGCGACCCTACAGGACAGAGTAGAACTGCCCCATAGGGTTTCCTAGGCTGAAATCTTTACAGGAACAGATCACCAGGTTTTTTTTCCCCATGGATTCTAGTGACCCTGTGTTACTTTATCAGATAACTATACTCTGATAGCTACAAGTATGTGGTAATCACCTATGCACACATTTATTTGAAAGACTCCCACTCTACACTGCTTTCATTGAGATTGTAGCCAGATCTATATCAGCTTTTACTTATACTCATCTATTATTTCTGGCATTTGACTGTATGGATCATAACAAAATACGGATAACACTGTGAAGGATGGTTATTCCAGAACACTTAATTGTGCTCATGCAGAACCTGTACATAGACCAACAGGCAGTCTTTGGAACAGAATAAAGGGATACTGCATGGTTTAAAATCAGGAAGGTTGTGCATCAGGGTTGTACCCTTTCACCATGCTTATTCAGTCCGTATGCTAAGCAAATAATCTGAGAAGCTGGACTGTATGAAGAAGAACGCGAAGTCAGGATTGGAGGAAGACTCATTAACAACCTGCGATATGCAGATGATACAACCTTGTTTGTTGAAAGTGAAGAAGACTTGAAGCACTGACTGATGAAGATCAAAGACTATAGCCTTCAGTATAATTACATCTCAACATAAAACAAAAATCCTCACAACTGGACCAATAAGCAACATCATGATAAATGGAAAAAATACTGAAGTTGTCAAAGATTTCAATTTACTTGGATCCACAATCAATGCCCATGGAAGCAGCAATCAAGAAATCAAACAACATATTGCACTGGGCAAGTCTGATGCAAAAGACCTCTTTAAAGTGTTAAAAAGCAAAGATGTCACTTTGAGGACTAAGGTGTGCCTGACCCAAGCCATGGTATTTCCAATTGTCTCATTTGCATGAGAAATTTGGACAATGAATAAGGAAGACTGAAGAAGAAATGATGCCTTTGAATTATGGTGTTGGTGAAGAATGTTGAATATACCATAACTACCAGAAGAACAAACAAATCTGTCTTGGAAGAAGTACAGCCAGAATGTTCTTTAGAAGTGAGGATGGCGAGACCTTGTCTGAAGTACTTTGGACATGTTATCAGGAGGGACCATTCCCTGTAGAGGACATTATGCTTGGTAGTCAGAAAAAAAGAGGAAGAACCTTAATGAGATGGATTGACCCAGTGGCTGCAACAACGGGCTCAAACATAGCAATGATTGTGAGGATGGTACAGGACCGGGCAGTGTTTTTTTCTGTCGTTCATGGGGTTGCTACAAGTCGGAATTGAATCGATGGCACTTAACAACAACATTATATCTGGAGGAGCCCTGGTGGCACAGTGGTTGGTTAAGTTCTCGGTTGGTAACTAAAATGTCAACGGTTGGAACCCACCAGCCGCTCTGCGGGAGAAATATGTGGGAATCTGCTTCCATAAACATCACAGGTTTAGAAACCTCTGTTCTATAGAATTGCTATGAATCGGAACTGACTCCACAGCAATGGCGGTTTGGTTTGGTATTATTTCTGGGTCCTAACGCAAGTTGGGAGCTCTGGTGGTGCAGTGGTTAAGACTTCAGCTGCTAACCAAAAGTCAGCAGTTCAAATCCACCAGCTGCTCTTTGAAAATGCTATGGGGCAGTTCTACTCTGTCCTGTAGGGTCACTATGAGTCGGAATTGACTCAACGGCAATGGGTTTGTTTTTTGGTTAATGCAGCTTATAACATTTACAAAGTGACCTTGGTCAAGTCACTTAACCTTCCCTGTAGTTTCCTTATTTGTAAAATGGTGCTAATAATGACTAGTCATGGGCTGTTTTAAGGATTAAACAAGATAACACCAGTAAAGTGCTTAGTGAACTATCAGTATATGTTCATTTCTTTACTTCTCACCCTTGGATGTAATTATTTGTTTACCTGATAATTGCTTTTACCAGATTCGGGGTTCCTGGGAGACAGGTATCTTAGCCTTATTCATCTTTGTACCCCCAGCAAACACAATGCCTGTCTTACAAGTGATATTTAATAAATATTTGCTGAATAAATGAAGACATAGAGAGTGAAGATTACACTGCCTATTTATTTGCTAGTCAAACTGCCAGATATCTTTTAAAAGGTCTCAAATAACCAGCCAGAAGCTACAGCTTTTGTCAGGCAGGCATAAGATTTGTGGGGTGATACAAAACACAGTCAATCATTAGATTTGAGTGGGGAGCCTGTTTGACAGGGAGCAGTGCACAGAGGAAGTAGAGCTGCTATCAAGCTCCTTTCAAAGCTGCTTTTCATAGTAGATTAATGTATTTCTAGTGATGAGAACTTTAGGAATGCGGGGCACACCCAAGTTTTAGAATGCAGACACATTCCAAAGGAAATTTCCATTACTGTTTTTCTTCTGCTCTGATGGTTATCACAGCTTTATAGTGAAGTGTAGGCAGACTGTAAATACCGTTCCATAAGCAGGGAAAAAATTACCAGACTGCTTCACTTGTTTTGTGGATTTGATTACAAACTTTTGAGCATTCTAAGGTGACCTGACAAAATCAGAAAAAACTAACTTGTGAAGAGATTTCATTCCACAGTAGGAGTCCCTCCCTTTTCCCCTCCGTTGGGATTTAGGATTCTGGCAAGGGATTCCTATTTCTTTCTTTATTTAAATCAGCGATGAGGTGGGAACTAAGGGAAACCCACCTAGGGCAGGTGTGTATTTCTTAAGAGATTGTGTTATACAGTATTATATTTAGAAAATGAAGAAAACAGAGGATTGTTTTCATAATAACAATACAAATAACAGGAAAAACTTAATAAATTCTTGGCCAGATTTTAGAAGAAAGGGTCTCACAATGAACAGATGGGAGCATCAAGGAAGCGATTCACTTTGGCTCCGAGATTCTAGAATCTCATGACGTATTTTTATATTTGTTCAAACACTAAGGATTTATTTTAACCACCTGTGAAATTGCTTAGACCAGAACACCTAGCACAATGCTGTACATACTGCAGGTGTTTAATAAGCGGCTGCTAAAGTCCATCCGGGGAGCCCCGGTACCTGTGTCCTTGGCCCTGGCCGCGCCAACACAACCACCAAAGCTAAAACCCCTTAACCCAACTTTAAATAACATTCCTAAAGCAGAAAAGCATCCAGGCAGCAAAATCTTACAGCTCACAGTAACCAGGGGGGAAAAATTCATCTGTGGAGGCACTGATTTAAATGTAAAGATTCTGGGGGCGCTTATAAAAAAAATAAAGTTGGGAGAAGCCACCGAAACTTTCTCAGGAAATTGGATGTTTACTTGGTAAACAAGCGGTAGTCATAGACACACCTGCCATTCAGAACAGATCCCTGGGAACCACCACCGCCGCCTACTGGCAACATCCGGGACTTTGTCTACAAACTCCGGGTGACCCGACGTACGAGCCGTTGGGTTTATTTTGAAACGTACGCTCAACCAATCAGTCGGCGCCTGCGGGAAGGCGGTGGAGAGCAGTAACCAATCACCGCCCCGCTGGAAACTCCAGCCTATGAGAAGGAGGTTGACATCACGAGCCAATCGCCATGGCTCTTAGAGAGAGCGGTTCACTTTTTGAATTGGCTGTGGCGGTGAGCTGTGAGGGATGGCGGTAGCGGTGAGAAGAATCGGTGCTTGAAGTGGTGAACTTCCAAGGCTTTTTTGAGAGTGGTGAGGACCCAGTGGATATGGGTGGAGGTGGGGAAGGTGCGAGCGGGAGAGCGTCCCCGGAGCGGAGAGCCCCTCTGCCTGTGTCCGGCAGCCCCGACCCGGTGACCGCGAATTCCTGAGCGCCCAGCCGGGGCTGCTGCTCTAGGAACTCCACCCCACCTCTAGCATCTGGGCCCTGTCGCGGAGTGGGATGCGTAAGTGCACAGGATTGCCCGGCATCCTCACCGCTATCTCGGTTGGATCCCCTTTCCGGAAGAGTGTGGGTGAAGGGAGTTGGAAAAGGGACGCTGCACTTTCCTCTGCGGCTCTGAGGGCCCGTGGTTGCAGCCTTTCCGGGCTTATCTCAGCGTCTCAGTGGTTTCACGCGGGGATTTTGTTGGCTTCTTTTCTGTGGGAAGCTTAGCTGATAGCTTTTACTTGTAAAGGCCAGCCCAGACTACCCCGCCTCGCCCCGTCACAAATATGTATGCCATAGTGGTTAAAAGCGCAGCCTATGGAATCAGCAAAGGTTTGAATCCAAGCGTTACCACTTACTAACAATGTGACTTAGGGGAATTTACTCAGTGTCTCTGTGCCTAGATTTCTTTGTCTATAAAATGGAGATAATAATAGTACGTCCCTCTTATGATTGAGTACATACAAGGAAAAGGCTAATAAGAACAGTATCTACCACATCGTAAGCATTAAATACATGTTAGTTGTTAATCACGACGTTATTATTGTTAATAATAATAGCAACACCAGCATGTCCAGTAGTGTATTTAGGTCCTCCACCCTAGAAGATAATTGCTTAAAAATACTAAGTAAAAGGAAACCTAAAGTGGATGTTAATTTAAATAATAGATTTTATCTTTGAGCTAAGAAGGGGGCTGTTTTATACTTAGTATATTTCGTCAGAAGCTGCTTCAGGGTTCTTGGAAGAGAAATAAACTAAAGGTTTATGAACACTAATCGTATTATGTTTTTGTAAAGGCTTCCAGAATACATGAATGTGAAAAAAAAAAGTCCTTAGTGTATTTGTTTGTAATTAGGCCATTGGATGTAATGTCACCAGTTTGCCACGCAGCTCTTTTTCTCTAACGTTTGAAGCTGTTTTGGAAATAAATTGATGTAATACAGCACTACCAGGGACAATTTTAATTACCTGTTTTGCTGGTTCTTTAAGAGGGGAAGGCATATAAGAAAAAATGTAAACTCAAATAGTATTTTTGATTTGTTAAAACCTCCCTCCTCCTCTAATTTTATTTTAAGACATCATCTATTCAGTTTTCATCACAACTGGATTTGAGTTGTGCTATATTACCTCTGCTTCACCAATGTGGAAACACAAGCTTAACCTACCACGTATAGAGTTGAAACAGGAAGCTAATTCTAATTCTGCCTGACTTTAAAGCCTGTGTTCAGATCTTTTGTCATTAGTTTGTACGTCTATGCACTCTTTACTATCAAAATCCAGAAATACATTTTACTTAAACTATTTATTTGCTAAGAATCTGGAGAAATATTTTGTATATTAATCTGAAGAAGTAGAAAAGGGTCAAGTAGATCAGATATGTACCCTCAGATAAACTTGGGATGACTTCTTTATATTTGCCTAATTATTTGTCAGGTAATGTTCTGAGTGCTTTACACACATTATGTTATTTTTACAATATTTCTGTGAGTTAGTTATCAGTCTTTATTTTGCAGAAGAGGAAACAGGCTGAGAGAGGTTGAGTGATTTTCTTTGGTTTCATGTTAAGAAAAATGGGTAATTATAATTTTTATAAATGCTAGGTATAAAAGTAGAGCCTCTAATGCTTGTTTTTGCCCAATGATCATGTTTGTTTTTATGTATCTTTATTTAAAATTTATTCTTTCAGCTAACGTTTAAGAGCGTAAACATGGCTGACAGTAGTTTATTAACATCTGCTGCTGGGAGGACTAGCTTGGCCGATTCTTCTATTTTTGATTCTAAAGTTACTGAAACATCTACTACGTATGTTGAAGGTAAACCTATCATCTGCTTTAAAATACTGATGCTGTTTTTTTAAATTCTAAGTTTGTAATTGATTAAAGCCTTTCCTGTGATTGGACTGTAATACCAACTGTTAAGCTAGAGTACTTGTATTAAGTAAATACTTGTTAACCATCTTTTTATACTGTGTAGATTTTCTGATTATCATTTGGATTAACGCTTTTCAACTTCAAAGGGGGAAGCATCTTATTGTTGGATTTTGCTTTTTCTGAATGTGAGGGCACTGTATCAGCAACATTGTTAGTTAGGATTTCTTCAATTGTGCCTGGTAAGGGGGAGAGCTACTTCTTCCTTTACCACTTTCTAAAGTTGTATCCACCTTTAAGAGTATGACTGTGCACTATAGCGAGTGCTTTCTTTGATTAGAAAGAATGCTAACATTGGTATACTATGCTACAATATGTTTTCTCTTTCTCTAAAGTGATATACGGCCAGATATTTTTCTGATAAATTGAGAAGTAAATCAGCTTTGAGAATTTTAGAGAATGTTGTGATCTCAAAGATGGAACACATACTAGATATGGCCCAAAGAGGGATACTGGATTTGATGTTAATGCTTGACAAACATATTTAAAATTTTTAATTTTAACAGAAGAAATGCCTCAGATTGAAACAAGGATGATATTGGTTCAAGAAGCCGGAAAACAAGAAGAACTTAAAAAGGCCATAAAGGTACAGAGTTTTGTTTATTAGAAAAAAAAAAAAAAAAGCTATTTTTCTTCCATCACTATATAGTTTCATAGTTTTCTTAATCTCATACTTAAGTCTCTTTTCCACAGACTATTAAAATAATGGAAGTCCCTGTTATAAAGATAAAAGAAAGTTGTCCTGGAAAATCGGATGAAAAATTAATAAAAAGTATTATTAATATGGTAGGTCAAGCATCTCATTGCATGTGGCATGCTGCTCTTCCCTTAATTGTATTATTGCACTTCATGGTGATTGCAATGGTGAGGGCAATCTATCAGCATTATCACAAAAGAGTATTTTGTGCACTCTGAATCTAGATAAGTAGAAACTATTTTATGCTTATTTTAAAAATGTGAGTGTTTCTGAAACCTCCAACTATAGCATATATTGTCAATAATGAAATCCTTATAAAGTGATTTGGTTGTCATTTAAATGTCATAATACGTATTTATAAAGACCTGATTGTGTTCTTTAAACTCTTGAGCTTCTTTTTTCTCATTAATTTTGTTTAGTCTAAATTCTTGCTCTATTTCCAAAATTATAAATCAAAACAATTGAAAATCATTAGGGAATTTCCTTTAGCATATGAAAGATTTCTAATTCTTTTTGGAACAGCCTGGCAAATAAAACACAAATAATCTATTGACCCGTTCAGAATTTTCTTTTAAATGGTTTCTTTTTTTGCACACAGGAGTTATATTGGTACTTAAGTACTATATCTTCGTTTGTAGATGTATAGCAACCCATTGCTGTCAAGTCGACTCTATAAGTGTTAAAATAGTAACCAGCCTTTTTATAGCCTACATTTACCATGCTGCAACTGCCTACATATTCCACCTGTTCTTATTTCCCTCATATATACTAAAATGATTACGCTAATCGACATCCTTTTTGTAAATATTAAGTGCTGTAGTGTTTATTTTCCTTATTTTTCTGAAGACAATTTATGCAGGAAGAATTGTGTGGGCGGCATCTTTTTCTTGGTCAGAATAAAAAAATAGTGGATATCTTTCTAAATATCCTACTATCAAAATGCATGTACTTAAAATATTTCAACATTCTAATTTGATGGAACTTTATGTACATACTAGATGATTTATAATGACTACTAAGTCATAAGTCAGAAGTTTATGCCTTTATAATACTGATCTTCAAAATTTAAAATCTTAACGTAGACAGAGAAATGTATATATAAAAATACAAATAAGTAGAAAAAAGATTATTCAATATTAAATGTGATGCTGATATGATAATTTAAAGCTTAAGTTCTATACAAATATAAAAATAAAATTTAAAATGCTAATCTTTCTACAAAAGATTAATGACTGATACTGATTTTTAGGCTTTAGAGAGTTATATAAGTTAATATGTATAATATATAAATAATTTTTACTTCTAACAACTACATGAAAATATCAAGGAAATTAAAGTGCCCTTTGTAAAGATGGAATCAGTGGAAGAATTTGAAGGCTTGGATTCTCCAGAATTTGAAAATGTATTCATAGTCACGGACTTTCGGAATCCTGTCTTTAATCACTTATACAAGGCTGATTGCAGAATTATTGGACCACCAGTTGTCTTAAGTTGTGCACAGAAAGGAGAGGTAAGAAATACTCTACATTTATTTTGACTTTTTAAAGTTACATTTTTATTTGTGAATTTTGTAAAAATGTATAACAAAAATTACATTAATTGTTGAGAATGAAATATTGAAAATAAGAATAGTAATGGCCACTATAATATAGTCCTTTAATTCTTCCTATTGTAATCTTCAGTATTGGAAAATCTAAGGCCTTTGAAAGTTTAACAATTATATATGTGTATACACGCACACATATATTTGGTCTTAATATGATATTTCTTAGAAGTAGTAATTTGCTTAAACTTGGGTCCCTGAAATTTATACATGCATGCGTATGTGTGTGTGTGCGACCCAGTTGCCATTGAGTCGAATCTGACTAATGGCAACCCCATATGTGTCAGAGTAGAACTGTGCTCCATAGGATTTTCAATGGCTGATTCTTTGGAAGTAGATTACCAGGCCTTTCTTCCAAGGCTCCTGTGGGTGGACTTGAACTTCCAACCTTTCAGTTAGCAGCTGAGCACATTAATCTACCACCCAGGTTCACTCTCTTTTTCTCTCTCTGCATGCATATATACACACACACTTTTATTTTCTTCCACACAGAATAGATACCACGTTTCCATATTTATTGGTTAATGCTTGATTTTTAAATCAGGAAAATTGTTTTTAGCTTTTTGTTTTTTAACGACATTTCAATTCAAGGCTGTAATAGAATCAGCCTCTGTTTTTTTTTGCTACATTTTGCCATTGTTATTGTTAGTTACCATGAAGTTGATTAGTACTCATGGCGACCGCATGTGTACAGAATAGAAGTTCTCCATAGAATTTTCAAGGCTATGACCTTTTGGAAGCCGATTGCCAGGGCTGTTTTCCAGGGTGCCTCTGAGTGGGTTTGAACTGCCAAACATTTGGCTTTATACAAGTGCTTAACTGTGCCACCCAGGAACTCTTGCCTTACTCCTTTAAAATTGCTTAGGTCATTGTGCTTCTGTTGTTACAGATGCTAGTGATAAGCACATGATAACTTTAATTCTAATGTTTGATTTGGAGGTGTTTTAAAAATCAAATAAACTTTTTAAAGATGAAAATTGTGAGAAAAGGATCTTGCTTAATAAAACAAAACAAACCCATTGCCATCGAGTCGATTCTAACTCACAGCAAAACTATAGGACAGAGAAGAACTGTTCCTTAGTGTTTCCAAGGCTGTAAATCTTTACAGAAGCAGACTGCCACATCTTTCTCCCACAGAGTGGCTGGTGGGTTTGAACTACCAACCTTTCAGTTAGCAGTGGAGTGCTTAACTACTGCACCACCACCAGGGATCAAGTATACTAGGTTTTGTTTTTACCTTTCCCCGTTTCTCTGATATTGTCTTCATTTTTTTAGCTAAAACATTGGAATCATATTTGGTTGAAGTATATGCGTTATATTTACCTAGTATTTATCATAAAATGCCTTTAACCTCTTTTAATAACATTATTTGGAAACATTTATAATAGTGTATGGAGTCTGAAATCTTTGCTTATAGATAACATTTAAATATGTCAAAGTATGATTTGGAACAAAGAGTTTGGTTATAAATATTTTCTTTATGTTAAATTTGCCAGTAGTAAACTGTTTACATTATGGGTGTCAAATATGATTTGGGAGTCATATACATACATATGTACACTGATTGGCATATTATGGGACATTTTTATTGTGAAATTTTCAGTCTGGTATTTTGCTATTTTTTATTGTATATTGAAAAATGCCAGTAAATCTTTGAATTGAAAAAGTTGATTATTGACTAGAGGGCAGATATGTTTAGCACGAGAAAAATGCTATCTATTTTCTACTATACAGAACATTCACAGATTTAAAATTATGTCTTTCAGCCTTTGCCATTTTCATGTCGACCACTCTATTGTACAAGTATGATAAATCTGGTGCTATGCTTTACAGGATTCAGGAAGAAAGAAGAACTAGTAAGTATTTCAAAGTAAATTCTATTCAGAGAATATTTTTCCACCAAAATAAATTTAAGCTGACAGTTTGTTTTTGGTAGTTGTATCATGGTTTTATTTGAAAAACAAAACACTGAAGGAGAAAGTATTATGGATATAGCAGTTTTTAAACTTTTTAAAGAAATTCTGAAGAGCCTTGTAAAGAAACTAATGTTTTATGTATGATGCCTGGCATATGTATTAACAAAAAATAAATAAATTTCAAATCTGTTTGACTGCTTTGTTTTTATGTATCATATCAGCCACACTGGTTATTTGAAATTTTTGTTTACAGATTGCGATTTTTTGTTATGTAAGGAGCCCTAGTGGCACAGTGGTGAAGTGCTCAACTTCTGAGAAGTTGGCGGTTCGAATCCACCAGCTGCTCTACGGGAGAAAGATGTGGCAGTCGGCTTCTGTAAACGTTGGAAACCCTATGCGGCAGTTCTACTCTGTCCTGTGGGGTCACTATGAGTTGGAATCGACTCAGTGACAATGGATTTAGTTTTTTTAAGTCCAGCCTCAAAGTACTCTTACTGCCTTAGAGAATTCATAGAGACTTTTTCTTTTGTTGAAAAGATTTTCTATGTTGGAGCTAATGGGTATTACTCTAATTTTGAACCCTGAAATAAACAGAAATTAGTTAGGTGAATGATGTTCAGGTATGGGAAGATTTTTGATGTGATATAATCTGATGTAGAAAAAAGTAATATATTTGGGCAGAATGAAAGCCAGTTGTTTAATTACCTTAGTTCTGGATGATGATCTTTACTAAGCTTATCTTTATGTTTAATTTTGTCTATGTCAGTACAGCAAACTAATCTTTTCTTTAATGTTTTATTTTGAGATAAAATAGAAAGTATTCAGTCAATCCTATATGAATTTTAAACATAGTTTAAAATTTTGTTCAAATTAACAATGAAGTCAATGTTGCTTGATTTTTCTTTTGAGGTCAGATTGGTGACATTGGTCCATCATATGGGTGGAGTTATTCGAAAAGACTTTAATTCAAAAGTTACACATTTGGTGGCAAATTATACGCAAGGAGAAAAATTTAGGGTATGTAAACTCAACTATTTTTGTCTATTTCGATATAGCATTATTTTGGAATGAGTTTAATAATAGCACTTTCCCTCTATTTCTCCCATAACTTACTTAGCATCGAAATTCCATTTTTGCTATGAGTACATTTCGTAAAAATTTTAAATCATAGGAGTATGGTCCTTTAGTTTTTAAGGAGACAGTGAAACTTGAGATAAGTCCTAAAAGATGAGTAGGATTGTTAGGTTGGTTGATGGACAACATTGCAGGCAGATTAATATTAGCCAAGGTTACCATGACCATTGGTGAATAAGGAGGTCAGGAAGTAATGCGAGTAAATATTTCACTCTTCGCTAGGTATTCTTAAAAACAATAGAGCTATGTTCTTATAAAATGGTTCTATAATTTGTCTTGGTGAAAATTATTTAAAAAAAACAGGACAAATTACTTTTATTAGGATTGAAATCTTAATTAAAGATTGTACTGAATGTCTTAGGAAGAGTTTATCACTTTGTTCCATCCTCCCTCACAGAGTATTTATGTAATGAATGGCAAATTTAGGGTAATACTGAATTCCTGGGAGATATTTTTACCATCTCCTATCTAAGGTATTAGTTACTTAATCAGATGTTTTCTTCTGTAGTGTATCTTGGGGGGGGGTTCAGTATTTTCAAGGAAGGAAACATGAAGAAAAAAATATGATACAGATGAACTAATCAACTTCAGAGATATATTTATTTAAAATAAAATAAGGAAGCAGTTTGGAAACCATGGAACTGTTTTAAAACTATTTAAACTTTAGTTTTACTGTTAATTTTTCTTTATATTTTGTCACAAACCAGGTGAACGATGATCTAAAACTGCAAGGAGTGTGTATCCCTGTAGAAAACTGATGTTTCTTAGAATTTCCACGAGTGCAGTTATTTAGTGAAAATTCATCATAATGTTTACATTTTTAGGTTGCTGTGAGCCTGGGTACTCCTATTATGAAGCCAGAATGGATTTATAAAGCTTGGGAAAGGAGGAATGAACAGTTAAGTGTTTAGAAATTCAGTTGTTCATTATGTGAGTTAAACATGTTATGGTCTAGAGATAAGTCCCTGCATCAAAAGCCTAAATTCATAGATTGTATAGAAAAAAATGAATTCAGTCTTTAGGTAGCTTAAAAAAAAAAGTCTAGGAGAAGCAAAGTTAAAAAAAAATTTATTGAAAATTGAGATTAAAAGACTTTGGATTTTACCTTGTGAAATAGATTTAAACACTGTAAACTTAATGTGTTGAGATGTTTGAATTGTGTTATATTTTTTCTTATTTTATGTTTGTCTGGTTGCATTTTAATTGGTGGTTGTAATTCATTACCTTGTTTGCAAAACTTTCCAACCTCATGATTCCTTGCATTACTGCTCTTCATTGTTGCTTAAGATTTCATAAAACTATAGGGCCCTGGAATGCATATAAACTTTCAGATAAGAGCAGGGATTTGAATCTTTCTGTAAAGATTACCTGTGACCAAATTTTGTCAGAAGTTTCTTCTGGTATAACTTGAGAACACGGTTGGTTTTTCCTTTTAGTGATGTTTTTGTGAACATTTCAGAACATGATGTAAAATGTTTTCAATAAATAGAATATGCTGAGAGCCTTGAGAATTACTATAGCTTTGAAAAATCATATACCTAACTTATCTGAATTTAAGTTAAACTGGTTTTACAAGAGTGTATTTTGTTTTTAGAGATTTTTGTGCAGCAGCCGATAACTTTAAAAATGAGTTTAAAGTTCCTCCATTCCAAGATTGCGTTTTAAGTTTCCTGGGATTTTCAGATGAAGAGAAAACCAACATGGAAGAAATGACTGAAATGCAAGGTAGAATTTAGCCTAGTTTAGAAGTTAATGTAGGATTTATCCACTAGGCCTGTTTGATCATTTCCTGGTGAATATGTCCCATTAGAGATGAATAGTTTGGTTTATGTATGCTTGTATGCTTTCCTCTTTAGGAGGTAGCTATTTACCAGTTGGAGATGAAAGATGCACTCACCTTATAGTTGAAGAGAATATAGTAAAAGAGCTTCCGTTTGAACCTTCAGAGAAGCTTTATGTTGTTAAGCAAGAGGCGAGTAATTCTAGAACAAGATTTATTTTTAACACTGTTAATAGCTTTTCTGATAAGGTAGAATTTAAATTTTAATGAAAATGTTCTTTCTCTAACAGTGGTTTTGGGGAAGCATTCAAATGGATGCCCGAGCTGGAGAAACTATGTATTTATATGAAAAGGTATGCATTTTCACCCTTAATATTTGTTCTGTGATGGAAAGATAGATATGCAAACAGCTACCATACAGAATGATGTGTTACAAGTAGCTTAACCGTTGCCCTCAAGTCTATTCCGACTCATAGCGACCCTGTAAGACAGTACTAGAACTACCCACAGGGTTTCCAAGGCTGTAAACAATACGGAAGCAGACTGCACATCTTTCTCCTGTGGAGTGGCTGGTGGGTTCAAACTGCCTACCTTTTGGTTGGCAGCCGAGCCCTTAACCACTGCACCACCTGGGCTCCACATTTAGTTTACGATATGCTAATGTATTTTAGGTACCCTGACTCTTTCTGTGAGATTCCGCAGGATTGAAAAGAGCTAATTAGTGTTGATCAGACTTACCAGGTTAATGGAATAAGGGCATTCAAGTCAGAACAGCAGGTGTTGAGAGTGGAAGAGAGATGTGAAAGCTTGGGAGGGCATTAAAATAGCAAGTAGTTTAGTATGGCTTCTGGAAAGAGAGTGTAGAAAAGAAGACCAACAGATAAAGCTTAATAAGTAGACAGAATCAAGAAGTATTTAATATGATAAAGAGTTTAGATTTTATCCTATAAGTACTGAGGAGACATTCAAGGACATTAAGGGGAGTGATGTCATTAAAAAAAATGACTTCAGTAGCAGAGTGTAGTCAAAATCCAGCCTTTGTGCTGGATCTTGGTGAGGAGAGGAGCAGGCTTGGAATAAAGGATAAGAGTAGGCTTTAAGGAAACATTATTTCAGTTTAAGATGTAATAATTTTTAGTAGAATATCAAGGGTGAAATATGGATTGATTATGTTTCCACAAAATCTAAAGTAGATTCTGTATTGTGCTCTTTCAGACTGTTCTTTTCTCAGTGTAAAATTCTTAACATAAAGTTTAAAGAATATGCTTTAGAGTTAGGGAGACATCTCTTAAAATTATGTGTTGTTAACAGAACCATAGTGGTATAGTGATTAAGAGCTATGGCTGCTAACCAAAAGGTCTGCAGTTCGAATCCACCAGGCGCTCCTTGAAAACCCTATGGGACAGTTCTACTCTGTCCTATAGGGTCACTATAAGTCGAGATTGACTCGATGGCAATGGGTTTGGTTTTCTGGTTTTGTGTCTAGGCACTGTGCTAAATGCTAGGGATACAGTGAACAAAATATAAATGGTCCCTGTCCTCGTGAAGTTTCTGGCCTAAGGGGAGTAGACAGTAAACAAGCATGGAGACGAATATGTAATGATGATAGGGCTGTGAAGAAAAAGAATGAGGTACTAGAGGTTAGACAATTACAGTGGTCCTCTGACTATTATGTTTTATGAAGCTTCTGAATTGCCTGACAGAGTGTAGGATTATAAAATTATTGTGCAAAATTCAGATTTTGTCAGACGCATAAATGTATTTTTCTCTTGTTTCTATCTCAGTAAGGAGCCATGGAATTAAATTAACCTTTTGTGTTTTGGATTGCAGGCTAATACTCCTGAGCTCAAGAAATCGGTGTCACTGCTTTCTCTAAATACCCCAAACAGCAATCGCAAAAGACGTCGTTTAAAAGACACACTTGCTCAGCTGTCAAGAGAAACAGACATGTCACCATTCCCTCCCCGTAAGCGCCCGTCTGCTGAACATTCCCTTTCTATCGGGTCACTCCTAGATATCTCCAACACACCAGAATCTAGCATAAACTATGGAGGTAATTCACATTTAAAAAAATTAATCTTGAAAATTTAGTAGAATGAAGTGATTGTTAGAATATAGATAAATCCCAATTATAGTGAATTTGAAAGGCTCTGCTTTTAATTACCTTTGTTGTAGCTGAGGAGAAAAGACTCATGAAACGTTAAACATGATGATGTCTCCATTTAATGATTGCTTACTACGTGCTAAGTGCTGTTTTTATTTTGTGTATTTCTAAGATAGGCTTTCTTATCCCTATTTTACAGATGAGTAGACTGAGCTACATAGGAGTTAAGTAACTTGGTTGGGGTCACACAAGTAGAGAGTGTTAGAACTGTTCAAAGAGCAGCTTCTTAGCACTAGCTAAACAAAATCACAGAAGACAAAATCACATGAATTATCGAGAAAATAGGTACAATGAGATTAGTGTGAGTTCACTTTGCTGAACTGATGCAGGAAGCCTCCTACAGTTAACCTCTGTCTCCTGATTATCAATTTCTCTCCTTTTTTTTTTAGTGTGAGCAAATATGTTGTGGTGTTTTTTAGATTTAAGAAACAATCGAAACCTTCCCATGACATTATGACACTCTCCACTTACTGTCCCATGGCCCCATCACATCAATACTCTTTGAAGAATTACCTTGGTCTGTGGTCTCCATTTCCTTGCTTCCCATTGTCTTTTCAATCCATTCTAACTGGACTTCAGTATCATAAAATTACTCTTGCTGGGAAGATTGACAGTTTTCATGTAATCAACAGTGTTCAGCACATGAACAACTACCTTTTCTTGGACACGATTTCTTCTCTTGACTTTCATGACATCACTCATTTCTTATTCTTCTTTGTCTAACTTCTCCTCCAATGCAGAATGTTGAATGTTACTCTCAAGTCATTGTTTCTTTTCTCTTATAGTCTCACTAAATGATCTCATTTAATTCCATGGCTTTAAATAACACTTACGTGGTGATGACTCTCAAATTTATCTTCTCTTTCCAACTGCTTCCTTGTCCGTGTCTAATAGAATCTAGTATACTTAACATAACCAAATTAGAACCCTTAATTCTCTGCTACTCAACTCCTCAGTTCCTTTTATCACCCTTTTATCAGCCTTTCCTATAAAAAGGATCTCTCTTAGACTATTACAGTAGTCTTTCCATTTCTATTTATACATTCCTTCCTGCAGCACTTAGAGAAGCCTTTAAAAAATAGAAATTAGATCATGTCACTCCTCTGCTTAAAATCGTTCAGTGGCTTTGCATTATCATAGCTTTCAATTCCCTATGTAACCACGCTTCACGTCCCTCTGACCTCATGAAGTATTGTGCTCTCCAGCAATACTCTCTAAGCTTCAGTTATGCTATTGTTTGTCATTCTTCAAATATTTCTAGCACATCTGTACCTCAGGACTTTTTACTTGTCCCCTTTACCTCAAAGATGTCTTATCAGGTCAAGCCCCTGTTCCTTCCTACCAACCATTTACCTGGTTGTTGTCTTCAGTAGCAGTTACCACTGTTAGAAATTATCTTCTTTGTTTATGTCTTTGTTTGATTTGTTTCACTAGAATGTAAGCTCTAAGAGAACAAAAACCTTGCTATCTTATTCACTGCTTTATTCCCAGTGCCTAATATAGAGTAGCTACTCACTCAGTATTCATGGAAGGAATTGAAAGTGAGTTTAAGGTAGGTGTAGAAAAGTGAGGTGGGTTTGAGTATATAAAAAGGACCAAGGATACAGATGACAGCATACAAATTAAGTTTTGAGGGAATAATGAATGGGTCAGTTTGCTTGCAGGATGAGGGACTAGCAGTTAAATTAGAAAGGTTAATTGGGGCCTAATACTTTAATAATAGAGGAGAGGTCCCTGGGTGGCACAAATGGTTTGCTCTTGGCTACTAACCAGACAGTTTGTGGTTTGAATTCACCCAGTGGTGCTGCAGAAGAAAGGTCTGGCGCTCTACTTTTTTTTTAAGATTATAGCAAAGAAAAGCTTTTGTAGCGCAGTTCTACTCTGAAGCACGTAGCGTTGCCATGAGTTGGAATCAACTGGATGGCAACGAGTTTGTTTTTTTTTTAATACCCGAGGACTTTGAAATTAGACTGGCATATCTGAACTTTATATTGTCTTCAACAAGAAACTTTAGAAATTCGTCAGATAGCAAATTGCTTGAATAGGTAATTTGTAGTGGATTGATCTGGAGAATGATTAGAAGGAAGGCTGTTTGGAGACAGATAGACTTTCCAGTAAGCTACTACAGTGACTTATACCATGAGGTGATCAGGGCCTGAACTGGGTTAAATCATGGTTGGAAAGAAAAGTAAGGAGCATTGAAGAAATATTGATAGAATTGAGTAATAGGAAGGTAGCAAGAGAAGACGATGGCAAAGTATTAGATGAAAAAAATATGTTACTTTGGCATAAGTAGGATTTATAGGGAGCTTATGTTATAGAGGAAGTTAGTGCAGTTTTAGAAAAGTCCAGGTTACATTAAGGTAGATGTATCCAGAAGGCTTTTGGAAAAGTTGAATGGGAGTTCGGGAGAGGTCTCATGGTTAGATATATAGATCTGAGAGTTTACTGGTTTTATGATAACAAGGGTGTGGAATGGTTAGAGCTGATCATAAAGGACTAAAGGTTGAATATGCAGCTTAGGGAACAGGAGGAAGAAAAGGAACCCCTAAAGAAAACAGAATCTGTCTTGGAAGAAGTACAGCCAGAATGCTTCTTAGAAGCAAGGATAGTAAGACTTCATCTTGCTTACTTTGGACATGTTATCAGGAGGAACCAGTCCCTAGAGAAGAACATCATGGTTAGTAAAGTAGAGCATCAGTGAAAGAGAGGAAGACCCTCAATGAAATGGATTGACACAGTGGCTGCAACAATGGGCTCAAACATAGCAATGATTGTGAGGATGGCGCAGGACCGCACAGTGTTTCCTTCTGTTGTGCATGGGGGTCACTACGAGTTGGAACTGACTCAACGGCACCTAACAATAAGAACAAAAGAAAACAGAAGGATATTAGCACAGTAGGGGCAGATTAGATTATGATTTGACTTTCCATGTAATGGTTCTTAAATTTTTCATTTTAAATTAATGAAGCAGTATCTTAGAGTGAATATCAGATTTTCTGTATTTGATTAAACCAAAACCAAACCCACTGCTGTCGAGTCGATTCCGGCTCATAGCAACCCCCCATAGCGGCTTATAGGGTTTCCAAGTCTGTAAATCTCTATGGAAGCAGACTGCCACATCTTTTCCTGAGGAGCCCCTGGTGGTTTTGAGCTGCCAGCCTTTTGGTTAGCAGTTGATTGCTTTAACCACTGTGCCGTCAGTGCTCGTTAGGGTGAGTCAATCTACCTGAACCTGATCAATTTTAGTTTTGGGGTGCATGGCAAATTTTATTTTTTAATCTGCAAAGCTGAAAACCTCCAATAGGTCCAGAATTGGTGCCTTCACCAAGGTAATTCTGTTCTTTGAGGTACTGCCTATGTAGCCAACTGGCTTCTTCAATGACATCTTTATCTCACCACTGTCTTAACTTCAGTATATGTAGTGACATATCCTGGCCCTATGAGACAGCCATACATTTGTCTAGAGGACCACATAAGCAAATGAGGAAAAAAGTTATGTTCTTGGTCTAGGATCCAATTCAGGAAGGATCATACGTTGTTATGTTCTGTCCTTCTGGTCTCCTGTAATCTGGAACAGTTCCTCAGTCTTTTTGCCTTTAGTAACTATATTAGTTTCATAGGCTACCATAACAAAGTACCACAAACTGGGTGGCTTGAAACAACAGAAATTTATTGTCTCACAGTTCTGGAGGCTTGAAGTCCAAAATCAAGGTGTTGGCAGGGTCATGTTATGAAGGCTTTAGGGGAAGATCCTTTCTTGCTTCCTAACTTCTGGTGGTTCCTGGCAGTCCTTGGCATTCCTTGGATTGTGAACGTATCACTTCAGTCTCTGCCTCCATCTTCACATGGGTGCATTCCCTCTGTATCCTTTTCTGTGTCTCTTTATTTGAGGACACCAGTCGTTGGATTAGGGCCCACACTATTCCAGTATGACCTCACGCTAAATAATAACATCTTCAAGGACCTTATTTCCAAACAAGTCACATTTACAGGTTCCTGGGGTTAGGACTTCAATATATCTTTTTAGGGGACAAAATTCAACCTGTAAGAATGATCTTGACATTTCTGAAGACCGTTGTGGTTAGGTGCTGTTAAGTTGGTTCCAACTCATAGTGACCCTACGTACAACAGAACGAATCACTGCCTGGTCCCATGTCATCCTCACAATTGTTGCCATGTTTGAGCCTATTGTGGCAGCACTGTGTCAATCCGTCTTGTCGAGGGTCTTCCTCTTTTTCGCTGACCGTCAACTCTACCAAGCATGATGTCCTTCTTCAGGGACTGGTCCCTCCTGATAATGTGTCCAAAGTACGTGAGACAAAGTCTCACCATCCTTGCTTCCAAGGAGCACTCTGGCTGTACTTCTTCCAAGACAGATTTGTTTGTTCTTCTTGCAGTCCATGGTATATTCAGTATTCTTTGCCAACAGCATAATTCAAAGGCATCAGTTCTTCTTTTGTCTTCCTTATTCATTGTCCAGTTTTCACATGCATATGAGGCGATTGAAAATATCATGGCTTAGGTCAGGCGCACCTTAGTCCTCAAAGTGACATCTTTGCTTTTCAACACTTTAAAGAGGTCTTTTGCAGCAGATTTGCCCAATGCAATACATCGTTTGATTTCATGACTGCTGCTTGTGATTGGGCATTGATTGTGGACCCAAGTAAAATGAAATCTTTGACAACTTCAGTATGTTCTTTGTTTACCATAATGTTGCTTATTGGTCCAGTTGTGAGGATTTTGTTTTGAAGAGTACATGCCATTTATTTAGTAGAATGGCTATCAATTTGGAGTTGATGATACTTTTTACCATCATGTTTTGCTGGACTTATCCTATGAGGTAATTTTACAATAAAAATCTATAAGATGGTATATTGATAAGCATAGATATTCCCCTCCCTCCCTGTTAAGTCTGTACTAAGTTTGATTCTTATATTTGACTTTCATTTATCATTTCTCCTTCTTACCTTTCAGAAACACCAAAGTCTTGTACTAAGTCTTCTAAAAATTCCACTCCAGTTCCTCTAAAGCAGTCAGCCAGGTGGCAAGTTGCAAAAGAACTCTATCAGACTGAAAGTAATTACGTAAATATATTGGCGACAATAATTCAGGTAAGTATAAATTTGCTTTCAAAATGATCTCTGTTCTAATGCTCGTAAGTAAAAATTGGAAATATTTTATGTTTACATATACGCATAGGATTTGAATATAGATAATAAAAATGAAAATGTATGACCAAAACTGCTGTTAAGGGCATGCCACAGCTGTAGTACTGTCTTTTATTCATCAACTTGTTTTAGCCAATCAAGGAGATTGTTTGATTTAAATAGTACCATTTTTTGGTTATAATGAATTTTTTTGAGGGGGGTCCTAAATTTTAGCTCATGTTTTTTTTTTTTAAATTTTATTGTGTTTTAGGTGAAAGTTTACAGCTCAAATTAGTTTCTCATTCAAAAATTTATACACAAATTGTTTTGTGATGCAAAGTGTCAGCACTCTCCCCCTTTCCCTTTACACCCTGTGTCCATTCGGCCAGTTTTCCCGTCCCTTCATGCCTTCTTGTCTTTGCTTTTGGATAGGTGTTGCCCATTTGGTCTGCTATACTTGATTGAACTAAGAAGCACATTCCTCACGTGTGTTATTGTTTGTTTTATAGGCTTGTCCAATCTTTGGCTGAAAGGTGGACTTTAGGAGTGGCTTCAGTTCTGAGTTAGCAGGGTATCTGAGGGTATAGTTTCAGAGTTCCTCCAGTCTCTGTCAGACCAGTAAGTCTGGTCTTTTTCTGTGAATTTGAATTTTGTTCTGTGTTTTTCTCCAGCTCTGTCCGGAACCCTCTATTGTGATTTTTATCAGAGCGGTTGGTCATGGTAGCCAGGCACCATCTAGTACTGGACTCAGGCTGGTGGAGGCTGTGGTTTAGACTGATATTTTACTTATGTCTTTGATTTTCTTCATTTTCCTTTTGCTCTGAATATGATGGGACCAAGAGATGTATTTTAGATGGCTGCTTGTAAGCTTTTAAGACCCCAGACGCTATTCACCAAAGTAGGATGTAGAACATTTATTTTCTTTGTGAATTACGTTGTGCCAGTTGACCTAGGTGTCCCCCGAGACCATGATCCCCAGCCCTCAGCCCCAGCAACTGGGTCCCTCAAGGTGTTTGGATGTCTCTAGGAAGCTTCTGTGGCTATGCGTTGGTCAAGTTGTGCTGACTTTCCCTATATTGTGTGTTGTCTTTCCTTTCACCAAAGTTAACAATTGTCTGTTATCTAGTTAGTGATTTCCCCTCCCTAACCTTCCCTCCCTTGTAACCATCGAAGATTGTTTTTTTCTGTGTGTGAACCTTTTCTTGGGTTTTTATAATAGTGATGTCATATGATATTTATTTCGCTTAGGATAATGCTCTCCAGATTCATCCATGTTGTGAGATGTTCACAGATTCATCATTGTCCTTTATCATTGTTGAAGTTTGTATAGTGAGCCAAAATGTAGTTGGGTAGCAGAAAATCCCTTTGGCATATACTATTCTTGTACTTGGGTAGCATTTATTACCAGAAATGTAAATCGTTTCAGGCCATAGTAAAATCCACAGGATTTTCAGAACACTAATTTACATATCAATTAAATTCACTAGTTTTAAAAACCTTAGGAAGTCTTAAGACTAGAGACAAAGTTTCATATCACTTTACTTCATATAAATTCATCAAAGATTTTATTTGAAAGATTGTGGCCTAAATTCATGATAGTGTTTTCTTTAGGTTTTAGCTTAGAACTGATGTAGTTTTTTTGGAATTGAATTTAGAATAACCAAATTTTAACTTAGTTCCAAAGTTAAATGAATAGCCAGCAGCTTCTTTATTTAGTATCCCATATAATACTTGCTTGTCTACTAATAAAATTACTGCATTAAATGTTGAAGAGGGTTTCTGTTTTAAAGGATCTTAGACTGGAAGAGGTTAAAAAAAAAACAACTAATTATGAAGCAGAAGGTTATGAGCATCAAGTAAGAGCTTTAGTTAAGGAATTAGGAGATTTGTGAGTTGAGAGTTTTACTACTCTTACAGTTTTAGGGAAGGTGTTGGGCTGAAATTTTCAATGGGTTGTATATTGGAAGAGTTGCTATGAGACAATGGAATCAACTCAGCAGCAGTGGGTTTGATTTTTTTTTTTTGTTTGGTGCATTGGAAAAAGCTTCAAAGATAAAAATTGAAGTAAATTTTAAGTATAGATGTGATTGGTACATACAAGGAATGTGAGAAGTGTATTTGAGATAGGGCAAACAATACGGACAATTGAAAATGTGTATCACTCAAGATATGAGTCATCTAGGGAGGCTAGAGCTTAAGGGTGAGTTCAGGGGGTTGGAAGAGAATTTCAGATACAGTGAGAGTTGAGATAAGATTGCCTAGCTCAGCTGCTAACCAAAAGGTCGGCAGTTTGAATCCACCAGCTGCTCCTTGGAATCCCTGTGGGGCAGTTCTACTCTTAGGTATAGGATTGCTATGAGTCAGTATTGATTCAACAGCAATGGCTAATGTGTTGTGGGTGAGACCTGATTAGAGAAGGCCTTTGAATAGTGGGCTGTGTCATCTGTAAGCTGTAGAAAAATTTGTGATGAAGAAGGAGGATCTATGACATCATCTGACTTTTCATTTTCAAAAGATAACCGTGGTTCACTTTGAGGGAGGTATTAGAGATGAGAAATAGTAGAGGCAAGGAGACCAATTTGGTGGCTACTTCATCAGTCCTGGTGTGAGATTTTGAGAACATGAACTTTTGAGAACAGTGTCCATGAAAATGAAGATAGATGAGAAATATTGAAAAGAATCAATAGTTTTTGATTAAAGCAAATACAGTAGACCATTGGTTCATGTCTTAAGACAACTGAGAGGTTTTAATGAACCTTGATTTATTTTGGTTGCCTGAATATTTTTATTTAGAATTTTTAAGTAAATGTTGACTAGATAAAAGAATGTTTATAAATGATTACAAATGTCTTGAAACCTCTATTGATTTTCTTCCCCCAATTCCATCCTTTTTTTTTCTCAGAGATTATCACTATCTGGAATTTTGTGATTATCGTTTCCTTTATAGATCTACCACATATTTCTAAGAAAACAAACAATATATAAATGTAATCCTATTGTATATGTTTTTTATTCACTTGCTTTTTTCACTTGTTGGAAATGTTCTTGAGATCCATCTATGTCATTGCACTGTAATTAATTCTTTTTCATGTATGAATATACCACAGTTTATTTAACTGTTCTAAATGAACATCAAGGTTATTTCCACTTTTAGTTTTTCTTTTTACTAACAGTGATGCTTAAGAACATTAGCAGGTGGTTTTTTTGAATAAAAACCTGAAATTGCTGGGTCATAGGCTATGTGCATCAACAAGTCTATTAGATGATGATAAATTACACACGGTTGCCATTATATACTCATACCAGCAGTGTATAATAATTCCAGTTGTTCCACATTTTCAGCAGTACTTGATCTTTAATTTTTTTTTTCCCGTTCTGGTTGGTGTGAAATGATGTTACATCTTAAACCCATTGCCGTTGAGTCAGTTCCAACTGATAGCGAACCTATAGGACTGAATAGAACTGCCCCATATGGTTCCCAAGGCTGTAAATCCTTATGGAAGCAGATTGCCAAATCTTTCTCCTGTGGAGCAGCTTGCTGGGTTCAAATTGCTGACCTTTCAGTTAGCAGCTGAGCACTTAACCACTGTGCCACCAGGGCTCCAAAGTTACATCTTACTGGATATATAATTTGAGGTTGACCATAATTTTTGCTGTATAGTTCTATAAATTTTAACACATGTAAAGATTTATGTAACTACTACCACAACCAAGATACAGAATATTTTCATCCCCCAAAAAACTCCTTCATGCTTTTCCTTTATGGTCACACCATTTCCCTACTCCAGCCTCTGGTAACCACCAGTTTCTTCCCCATCACTATAATTTTTTTCTTTCTTGAGAATATCATATAAATGAAATTATCTAGTATGTAAGCTGCTTGCCTTTTAGGTTTGTCCAAGTTCTGTATATTGATAGTTTGATCCTTTTTATTTTTGAGTAGTATTCCATTGTATGGATATACCATAGTTTAGTGACTCATTAAAGGATATTTGGGCTGTTTTCATTTCTCTTGGGTAAACACCAAGAGTGTGATTTCTGGATCATATGGTAAATTATGTTTAATTTTATAAGAAACTACCAAACCTTTTTTCAGAGAGATGTTACTGTTCCCACCAGCAGTGTATGCACAGTCTAGTTGCTCAGCATTCTCACCAGCACTGGGTATTATCACTTCGTTTTGTTTTAACCATTATAGTAGGTGTGTAGTTGTATCTCATCATGGCTTTAATTTTCATTTCCATAATGGCTGACGATGTTGTCCTTATTTGCCATGTGTATATCTTCTTTGTTGAAATAACTGTTCAAGCCTTTTGCCCGTTTTTTATATTGGGTTGTTTGTTTTCTTCCTATTGACTTTTGAGAGTATTTTATATATTTTAGAAACTAGTCCTTTGCAAGATATGTGATTTGCAGATATTTTCTCCAGTCTATAATGTGTCTTTTCATTCTGTTAACAGTGTCTTTTCTGAGGAGAAATTTCTAATTTTGATGAAGTCCAATTTATGCTTGTATATATCATGCTTTTGGTGTCACGTCTAAGAACTCCTCGCCTAAGCCTAAGTTAAAAAGATTTTCTCCTATGTTTTCTTCCAAAATTTTCATACTTTTAGACTTTACATTTAGGTCTATGATCCATTTAGGTTAAGAATGACTTTTTTTTTGCCTATGGCAAATGATGTTCAAATATCATTTGCTGAAAGGCTGTCTTTCTACATTGAACCACTTTTGCATCTTTGTCAAAAATCACTTGGGCATATTTGCATGGGTTTGTTTGTGGACTTTATCCTGTTTTATTGATCTGTGTATGTTTCTTCTTTCATCAGTACCACATAGTCTTGATTATTGCAGATTTATAGTAAAAAGTTCTTTGCCTTTTTGTATATATTTTTAGAATCAAGTTTTCTATATTTACAAAAAGTCCTGCAAGTTCGACGGGCATTACATTAAATCTGTAGATCAGTTTTGGGGAGAATTAACATTCTTACTCTATCCAATCTTTCAATCCGTGACCATGGTATGTCTTCATTTATTTAGGTCGTCTTTGATTTATTTAATCAGCATTTTGTAGTTTTTAGCATATAGATCCTGAATATGTTTTATTAATATTAATACCTAAGTATTTCATTTTTTAAATTGTAAATGATACTACTATTTCTGTTTTGGTTTCCATTTGTACATCACCACTATATAGAAATACTGTTGATTTGTGTGTGTGTGTTGACTTTGTGTCTGTGACCTTGCTAAACTCACTTATTAGTTCTACGAGTTTTTTTTTTTTAGATACAAACATGGCTAAATCTCAGAATAATTACATCGAATGAAATAAACTAGGCAAAAAAGTACATACTGTATGATTTAATTTATATAAAATTCTAGAAAATGCAAACTAGTTAGTAATAACAAAAAACAGATCAATGGTTAGCTGGTGATAAAGAAGAGTGAGGGCAAGAGATTGCAAAGGATCATGGAGAAACTTGGTAGTGACGGATATGTTAAGATCTTGATTGTGATGATGGTGTCACCGGTGTATACATATGTCAGAATTATCAAATTATACACTTTAACTGTGTACAGTTTATTGAATGTCAGTTATACCACAGTAAAGCTGTTAAAAATAAAGCAAAATTTTAAAATCGTATTTTCAAATTAAGACAAGAACTCTAAGATAGGGCATATTTTCACATTTTATAGATAAAAGAAGTTAGATTGAGAGAGACTAATTGATTTATTCATATTCAAGTGGCTGGTAAGAAAAGGAGTCAGGACCCAAACAGGTCTTCTTGCTTCAAATCCAGTCTCTTTTACTTAAATGAAGTTTCTACCCTGCAATTTCTAAAACGTTTAGTGCTTAAGTAAATGTCTGAAAATAACCAATTGCTTTTTGCTTTCTTCCTTAGTAACTTGAATAAAAAGTAGAAATTACTCTTAAATCATACTAACAATTTTGATGGTTGATAATATAGAACTGTGTTGTAAACTTTGATTAGCTTCTAACATTATAAAGATAACATGTTTATGACATGTTTATTATATATCTACGTGTAATAGAAAATGTATGAGAAAAAAAAGTGTCTTAAAATTTAAGAAGTATGTTTTTGTTACTTTTTTATTTCCACCAGCATCTTGTCTCTCCCTTAACATCATCTATATTTAACGTTTTTTCCTTTCCCCACATTTACTTAAACTAGGATATTTTTCTTCTTTTAGTTATTTCAGATTCCATTAGAAGAGGAAGGGCAACGTGGTGGACCTATCCTTGTACCAGAAGAGATTAAGACTATTTTTGGTAGCATCCCAGATATCTTTGATGTGCACACTAAGATAAAGGTAAACTTGTATATGTTGGAATCGGTAGTAATTCTTTTTGGATTGTGTGTGATTTTTCAGGCACTTCAGATTAGCTAACTAAGTTCTGTACCTAAAACATCTTTACTCATTTGTTCCTTTGAATCATTTGTCCCTTTGCTCCAGTGCCTTATTAATGTTTATTCTTTGCCTATTTTTAAAGTCAGATTAATCCTAACAATGAGAGATTAAGACTTTACTAAGTCTTTTCTATAGAAATGTATGTCTCCTATTACTATTTTTCTACTATTGTTGGCTTTGGGTTGTTTGTTTTTGTTTTGCTTTGGTTTATTTAAAAACTGTGAAGCTGGAAGGGACTTGGAGGTCATTTAATTTATTTCTCTACTTCTGGGCAGATAAATGCCAAAATCCTATGAGAGAGTGCTATCCTCTTTTTAATGATTTTCTTTTGACTAAGGGTCCATGATTTCCAGGTATCTGTCTCTTACATTAAAGTACTTTTTGGGCATATTTAGCTGAACTCTTAAAAGTAATTTAGCTTTATTTTCTCTTGTGAAGTGCTTGAGCAAAATTGATCAATTTTCTCCTCAAAACATCCCATAATAATGTTTATTCCATATTCCAGTAAAGAAGACTAATCTGAATTATAGAATATTTTCAAATACATTGAATTGCCTTTGATTTCAGTGCACATTATAAACAAAATATGAAAGATCTATCAATTGTTGCCATTTACCAAATGCTTGTATTTTACCAAATGCCTGTATTTTTTATTTTATTGAAATCATATTTCAATCAATTTCTAGATCTCAAAGGAACTGTTAAAGGAAATCTTAAACCTCTAAATTTGAAAAAAGCTGCATATTTTCAGGCTAGTTTATCCATTCCAGTTAGGGTTGTGAACATTTGAAGAGGAAAGTATTCCTGGAATATTTTTGCTTCCTAAGAATCACTGAGAGGCATAAATGTAGAATGGGAAGTCAAGTAGGTTTTCATCTTGGTGTTCTACCACTACTTTGTGCGTCAGTTTGAACTTACGTCAGTCTAACATTTAGTCAGTGTGAGTTTGCAGGCTCCTTTTCACAAAATGTGATACTTTTTATGTATACAGGATCAAAATCTCAATTCAGAAAATCAAATTCTTTGAGTCAGTGGAGCTTTGAAAATGATTGTCACCCTTTAACTTTCTCATGTGTTAGCTAATTCTTTAAGCTTCTTTGGTAAAGTTAAATTACCAGTATTGCAACTATTACTTGTTTTTCAGCCAATTTTAGATTTCTCACACATTAAAAAATTTTAAAGTTTGTTTTTTCTAACATGAAACCAGTATGTGCTGTCAAACTTTTGTTAAATCAGGAAAAATGGAAAATACTCATAATCCAGTCACCCACATACTTCTAAAATTTTGATGTATTTTATTTTCTTTCATCTTTTTTTATACATAGCACTTTTTCTTTTCTACTTTTAAATGTCAACCATGTATTGAGTAATACCACATTTATTAAGCATAACCAAGAAGATAGAATTCTTGTAATCATTTTTAATTGCTAAATTATTAGATTAACAATACCTTAACTATTTTAATTTTTGATTAATTTTTTTTCCAAAGTCAGTCTTCTAATAATTGCTGGATCAGGATTTGACCCCTTGTCCATCTGATTTTAAAACTTGTACTCTTAACCACTATGCTATATTACTTATTGATGATGGTGCTGTGGACACTATTTTAATATATAAACAAACCATGTAAATGTGTGTTAAATTTGTACAATTTTCATATCTCATTAAATATTTCTGAAAGCACTGGTAGCTGTATTTAGTAGTATTCCATCGACTCAGGAATAAAACGGATTTTGGTTTGAAGTCAGGTGACTTTCAAGTGCTTCAGTTTCTCATCTGTAAAATGAGGTTGGTAGTATCTGACTCATTAGTTGTCATGAAGTTTTTTTTTTTGTTTTTTTCTTTACATACATACAAGTTACTGAGCATAGTGCCTGGCACTTATTGAGCATTCAATAATGAACAATAGCTATTGATGTTAATTATATACTAAACTCAGAAGTTTAGTAAACTAGTGTTCAGAAGTTTTGTGTATGGTCAAAACCATTTTATACTGACTGTGTTTACAACCAGAAACCCTGGTGGCACACTGGTTAAGAGCTACGGCTGCTAACCAGAAGGTCGGCAGTTCGAATCCACCAGGCGCTCCTTGGAAACCCTATGGGGAGTTCTCCTGTGTCCTATAGGGTCACTATGAGTTGGAATTGACTCAATGGCAGTGGGTTTGTTTTTTTTTTTGGTACTTACAACCACACTGTCTGGCACTTGGATTATCATCAATAAATATTTGTTGAATGATGGTCATGCTACTTTTAAATTTCAGATTCAGGACTAGAACTCAGTCTGTCTCCTCATCTAGATACTATGTGGATGCTTTTAGTCCCATCATTCTTTGCTTCCAGGGTCTAGTATGCTGCTGATATTTGGATTAAGGTGAAAGGAATTTTGGAAGTTGTCATCAACCTCTCTTTCCCTAAGTGATTTTTTCCTTTTCGGGAGAAATGAATGAATCATTAGTCCTTGATGTGCAAATACCTGCTTTTGAATAGAACTGTAATCAAACAAAAGAGAAAGGGAAGGATTGGAGGGAGTCCTTTTTCATCATATGTTTATCTTTTGTTATTTTAGTTTAACTCTCAAAAGTATCTTGTACTTGTTTCAGGAACAGCTGTATATTGGGGAAGCTGCTAATTTGGTTTATTCTGAAGTAAATAAACTAGGTAAAAGCAAAACCGTAGTCATAAAAGTAGGTGGTAGCCATATAGAAGAAATCTTAATGAGGAAGACAAAAAGGAAGTAGCTTAGCTTTCTTGGCCCTGACCCCGACTTTTCTAACAGCCTTTCCCAGGCTTTGGGAGCTATGCTATGTCTTAGAACTATAGGGTTCTTTCGTATGGCCAGGAGGTAAAGTTGGGAGACTCCCTGATGTACTGTGGACAAGGAGAAGGAGTTATATCCTAGTATCTGTCCTAAATTGGGTCAGGCATTTTCCCACAGAAATATTACAAGAAATGGTAGACTATGAGTAATGCTTTTGGAAATTGGGCTGCCAGTATGCCTCCCCATTTCCCCCATTGGGGAGGGGGGATACTGTGGTGTAAATCAAGTGGAATAGCATGGAATCTGGAGTCAGATAAACCTGAGTTTGAAGACTGGTCCACGACTGTGTGCTTTGGGGCAAACTACTTAATCTCTCCAAGCTTAGTCCCTTTTCCCCTTAATACTTAGAGATGAAGGCAGAAACAGAATAACACTGCCCCAGAGGGTTTCCAAGGAGCGGCTGGTGTATTTGAACTGCTAACCTTTTGGTTAGTAGCCGAGCTCTTAATCACTGCGCCACCAGAGCCCCATTTTATCAACAGGCATTAGGAATTAAAGGTTTACCAGGAACAGAGAGTGGATACTTTTCAGAGTGCCAAGAGATTACTTTGCTTTCTGATAACAGTGTTCTTGTATAAATATTTATTTTAGAGGTTTAAATTATTCATATGTATATATATACAGCTATTCTGTAGTCTTATATGTATGCTTTAAAAAGGTACCTCTAAATTATAGTGACAGAGCTAGAGGTTTTTTTCTGTTTTGCATTACAGTTTTCCAAATGTCCCCTTGAGTTTATATTAAATATTTATATAGGAAAATATAGTTAATAATAGCTTATTGAGCACTTACTATCTGTCGAGATGCTTCCAAGTGCTTTACAAGTATTAATTCATTTTATCCTCTATAAGGTATGAATGTTTATTATCCTCATTTTTCAGAAGAGAAAATAGGCACATAGGACACAAGGCACAGAGCTAACAAGTATCAGAGGCAGGATTTAAACCTAGGTAGTCAGTGCCTATGGGGCACTTGTACTCTCATAAAGGGTTGCTGTAAGTTGGAAGTGTTACAAAGCAAAGATGTCACTAAGGACTGAGGTGTGTCTGACCCAGGCCATGGTGTTTTCGGTTGCCTTATATGCATGCAAAAGCTGGGCAATGAATAAGGAAGACCAAAGAAGAATTGATGCCTTTGAGTTATGGTGTTGGCGAAGAATACTGAATGTCCCATTGACTACCAGAGGAATGAACAAATCTGTCTTGGAAGAAGTAGAGCCAGAATGCTCCTTAGAAGCAAGGATGACGAGAGTTCATCTTACATACTTTGGACATGTTATCAAGAGGGACCAGTCCCTGGAGAAGGATATCAAGCTTGGTAGAGTAGAGGGTCAGCTAACAAGAGGAAGACCCTTAACAAGATGGGTTGACACAGTGGCTGCAACGATGGGCTCAAGCATAATGATTGTGAGGATGGTGCAGGACTGGCAGTGTTTCGTTCCGTTGTCCAGAGGGTCGCTGTGAGTCGGAACCGACTTGATGGCGCCTAATAACAACATGAGTCGACATCGACTTGTCAGCACACAACAGTCAGTGCTGGAATCTGCTATGTTATATTGCCTGTAGGTTAGTCTTATTTATAATTTTTGTCTTTTATTTTTCAAGTGACAGTTTTGAATAGTTAAACCTTCCAGTTCTTTTCTTTTTTTATTGTTGTAGTTTAAGTGAAAGTTTACTATTCAAGTTCAGTCTCTCACAGACAAAAATTTATACATACATTGTTACGTGACCCTAATTGCACTCCCTATACTGTGACAGCACACTTCTCCTTTCCACTCCTGATTTCCCGTGTCCATTCAATCAGCTCTTGACACTGTCTGCCTTCTCATCTCCCCTCTGGGCAGAAGCTGCCCATTTAGTCTCATGTATCTACTTGAGCTAAGAAGCACATTCTTCATGAGTATCATTTTATGTCCCACAATCGAGTCCAATCTTTGTCTGAAGAGTTGGCCTCGGGAATTGTTTTAGTTCTGGATTGACAGTCCAGGGGCCATGCTTTCTGGGGTTCCTCCAGTCTCAGACCATTAAGTCTGGTCTTTTTACTAGAATTTGAGTTCTGCACCTCACCCTAAACCTTCCAAT